TTCATCAGCTCGCACGATTATATCCGCAAAAAGGAGTGCCTTCTAATAGTGTATCAATATAGCCAAAGCAAAATAAAGGAATGCAATAGTGTGAGGAGCACTCAAAAAAATTAAAACTAAAATAGAGCACATTAAGTAAAAAATATATACGAATTAACACATATTAAGCAAATAACAGAAAATACCGAACAAAACACAAAACGAAATCTATAAAATGAGTAGCGAATTGAAGTGAGTTAAAAATAAATAGTGATTAAAAAGTTTAAAAATATAGAGATAATATAGAAAAATATGGAGATAGAGACATATTTTCAAATGTATAAATTTTTCTTTCTATTGCAGGCTTTAATCTACAATGAAGCCTAGGATTGTGTGCGTTTGTGTCGCTTTCTTGTTCTTGACAGCTCTTCTAAGCCAAGAAGTTCACGCTGGCCATAAAAATATGAAAAAACTACTTGCCGCAGGATTAATCGCCAAAGCTCTAAAACCAAGGTTTATTCCTCTGCCAATTCCTATTCCATTCAAACTAAAAATTAAAAAAGGAGAAAAAATTGTTCCTTACCCGTAAGTATTTTTTTAATTTATGTGTACACTATAACGCATGCAGAGAAATGTTTTTTTTTTCCTTCCCAAATAATAAAATTGTTATCAAAATTTATGTTCAACCATACCTACCAACTTCTGTTTTCAGTCGGATTTCTCAATATATTTATAGTGGTAGTAAATTTTACCTGTTAATATTTGATTATTAGTAAGCTTGATTTGAAGTGATTTTGTCAACTATTTTACATTCTCTACCACATAATAGAATCTTTTGCATAAAATGGAACAGACGATATTCCCACTCGTGTAGATATTTAGTTCTCTGGAAAACTATATTTCTTGTTTTTCATTTCGAATATGTCAATATAGCAGTTAAAAGAAAATAATGATTCTTATTATTGTTATAATATGGACAATATTTGATTATTAGTGAGCTTGATTTGAAGTGATTTTGTCAACTGTTTTACATTCTCTACCACTTTATAAAATCTTTTGCATGAAACGGAACAGACGATATTCCCACTAGTGTAGATATTTAGTTCTCTGGAAAACTATATTTCTTGTTTTGCATTGCGACTATGTCAATGTGAGCAGTTAAAAGAAAGTAATGATTCTTATTATTGTTACAATATGGACAATATTTGATTATTAGTGAGCTTGATTTGAAGTAATTTTGTCAACTGTTTTACATTCTCTACCACTTTATAAAATCTTTTGCATAAAACGGAACAGACGATATTCCCACTCGTGTAGATATTTAATTCTCTGGAAAACTATATTTCTTGTTTTTCATTGCGAATATGTCAATATAGCAGTTAAAAGAAAGTTATGATTCTTATTATTGTTACTGTTGAAAAAAAAATCGAAGCTCTCTGAATAATAACTCCCACTTATCTCGAATTTTGAGGTATGCGTATGACAGCATTCTCCTGCCATCTATAATTCATACGCTGAATCCCTAAAATAATTGGGATATGCTAAATCCACTTTTAAAATGTGTTCAAAATGCAAATGAACTTATTCTTAATCTTCTTAATTACATTTATCTCACGCTGAATTTTTGGATCTGCTATTTTTGTTCTGATCGTCTCAATTACCTCATGGATGTCAACTGCTCTGCCTTCTGTAAGACATTTTAACAGAAAAGAATAAAAAACTGCTGAAAAAAGTGAGCAAAATTTGTTTAACGCTGAACCAAAAATTCAATCTAAAACTGTCATCAGAATCGTGTGCTTCTCTAGAATGAAGCGATCAGATTTGTCCTATTATTTTTCAAACTTTAAAGCGGTTTATAAAAAACCGTATACTTTAAGAGTTAGAACATAATGGTTTGCATAATTAGAGATTTTGCATAGTTAGCCGTAACACTAATCTTTTTTTTTTCTTCTTTTCATCGATACTGCTATTAGTACGGAAATTTTCACACATGCGCTGTGAACCTCAAATAGCGTTATCGTTTGCGTAAAGGATAACGCTATTTTCTTTTGGCAAAAAAAATGGCCAACAGTTTTCCTCCAACCATCCCTGAAAGGTTGAACAAATTAGGCTTATAGTCTGTCTATGGAAGGAACTCCCCTCGTCATTCGTCTGGAGCAATGGTGGTGACCATGGGTGGTTACGAGGTTTTACTATTTCAAGTAGGGGTGTTGAGTCAGAATTTATGCATTGGCTCTGGTTGGCGAGAGAAAGAGAGAAGATACCCTCTTTGAAATGTGCTATTTTTTTATTTCAATAGCAGCAAACAGCTTTAGACATTGTGGCGAGAAGAGTCCTATCTATGGACTAACTACACCTCAATTGCTATTTCGCTATCACTTTAAATATAGTGGCAAGTTAGGACTTCCAGGTAGCGTCTATATATTTAATTTTCCCATTAAAATATTGTTTGTTTCTCAAAATATATGTGTTTGATTTAGTTAGTACGTTTTACTCTATTTGAATGTGAGATATTTTTAAAAACGAATTTTTTGAAAAAGAATTTTTCAAAAAATCGTTTGTTTTTTTTTTCGATATAGGATATTAAAATTATTCTTCTTAAAAACTTCTTGAGCTTATAAAATATATAAATAACAGTCTACAAGTTGCAAGCGCTCAAAAACAGATACCCATTTTCAAGACTTTTGATTATATATGTGTTTGATTTAGTTTGTACGTTCAATACTCTATTTGAATGTGTGATATTTTCAAAAAAGAACTTTTTTAAAAATCGTCTGTTTATTTTCGATAAAAGATATTAAAATTGTTTGATTAAAAACTTCATGAGCTTCAAAATTATATAAATAGGAAATAACAGTCGACATGTTGCAAGCGCTCAAAAACAAGTACCCATTTTCAAGACTTTCGATGTTAAAATTGGTGTTGTCTTTTTTTAAATTTTTTATAAGTAAGTAGATTTCGAATTATGCATTTATGTTACTTATAACATTATTATTCATTTACAGAGTAAAATCTTATGGCGGTGGTGGTGGATATGGTGGAGGAATGGGTGGTGGATATGGTATGGACATGGGAGGCTATGGTATGGACATGGGTGGATATGGAGGAGGCATGATGGGAGGTGGATATGGAGGAGGAATGATGGGAGGTGGATATGGAGGCGGCATGATGGGAGGTATGATGGGTGGTTACGATTAATTGCCAAAATAAATAGTACATTCATCTCCTCTATAGCTCAGTGTTATGCCTCATCATGAAAAATTCATTATAAATTCATCAAAGTGCAAAGACTGTATATAAATATTCATATCATTGTGATCCAATTGTACATATGTTTGTATGGAATAAAGATGTTTTATTTAAGATAGTTGATCTTTTTCTATCATTAATGCAAATACATGGTGTTCTCTAATAACCACCATTAAAACAACAGCGTCATTTCTTTCTTATATCGAGTTTTTTTAAAACGAAAAAAAAAAGATATAACTATTTAGCAAAAATTTTTATGATATTCCAATAGAAATAGCATTTTTAAGATGAAAATAGTAATCTGTTTTTCATTATTAATGTCATCATTTGAAAACAAATTTTAAAATACGTAACACAATAATTATATCATGCTTAGGAGGATTTTTCCGTATCGATAGCTGTTTACACCAACTAAACTACTACAGCCAGGTGCTAAAGGGTTTTCAAACATGCTTGTAAAAATTCTGCAGCCTCTGCCGGTTGTCGCTACTTTTTCGGTGCATGTACAGATACGACAATCTTCTTAATCTTAGCATTTATTTTGACGAAGCTTAACTTTCATTTATACTATAATAAATACGTAATATTATTATTTTTTTTTAAGTCATAAAACCATCTCTATTCAGTTGAAGAAGCATAATGAGGAAGATTTTTTTTAAATGACAAAAAATAATATAATAATTATTTTTGTCAGAATTTAATTTCTTACCACAAAAAAATATTTTGCAAAATTTCCCTCTAAAAATATCCTTTTTCAATCATCTTTGTCGCTATTTGATAAGGAGCATTTGATAAACTACATTCTAAATTAAAGGTCCTTAAATGTGTTTTATGAATATTCAATTCGTTTTTTTTTATTTTTTTTAAAGTGATGCGCTTTCTCTAAATTGCATAAAATGTAAAAAACTGAGTTTAAAAGTGGCGAAATGACAAAAAAAATGTTTTTTTTTGCTATTGTAGCGTTTAATATTTATAATTAAACATGGTATTTTAAGAGATATATTGTATTTACATAGTTAATGACTGAAAAACCCTCATTTTTACTTTTAGTATTTAAATATGGGGTGCTTATAAGAGAACATGTTTACTTTTTAATGATTTTTTTTTTTCAAATTTTATTAAAACAAAGCAATTAAAAGATTTATTTTCTTAAAAAATGGATTTCTTTCAATTATTTGCAGTGTTGTATTAGTATGACTTTTAAAAAATTATTATTTTTTTGTTTAATTTTTGTTTGCTAATTTTTAAAAAATTTTTAAATTGGCCATGTCCGCAACGTCACAGACATGACAAGTTGCAAAATACAATTTCACTAACTTTTAATAAACATTTGAGCTTGATAAAAAAAATTCCTTTCAATAAATTTGTATCATAAACCATAAAACTTATAAAATTCGCACTATTGTCATTTATTTTTGTAATGACAAATTACATTGACAAATTACTTAATTTTAAACATGTTGAAATTCTTCCATTTATTAAAAAAATATGTGTGTATTTTGAATTTAAACAACAATTGCATTCATGACAGCAATATATGTATTTGGTCTAAGTTATGTTAGGAATAATAGCAACAAAACAGTTAATAGAAGATTATTTAGAGTAGAACATTGTTTAGAATAGAACATTTTTTAAATTATTTAAAACATGAATATGCTTATTTGCAGATGTTTTTCCATTAAATTAAAAAAAATTAGAGTTTTGAAAAGATCTAATCTTTGCTAGTTGATTTGTTTGATCATTATATAATTAATTCAAGTTAATAAAACTTGAAACAAATTATAGAATTCTAGACTAAGTTTGTAAAACTATTAAAATTCCTCATGTCATTAACAAGTACAGAAATGTCTCGACAGAGAAGACAAAAATTGAAAGCTGAAGCAGTGAAATCTATCAAAGCAGAAGAAAGCAAGAAAAGAAAAAAGAACACAGACATTCTATGGTTCTTACGGCAGAACAGAAGGCATACATAAGACACAAAAATAATGAAGCACAAAGGAACGTAAAAAGAAAAAAGAAAAAGATGAAAATAAAGCATGAAAATATCTGGCTACAGCAGGAGACAAACTTTTGGAAAAAGTGGTGAAGAAAATTAATAATGCTTTGCCACAAATCTCCTCAGAAGAAACCTAATGGTTTAACATATATGATATCAAAAATGTCTCCATTAAAAAGAAAGCAGATAGTTAAAAACGCCATTGAGAGGAAAAGGCAACAGGTGCATATTTAAAGANACCTAACTATGGGGACCACATTTCCCAGATTGCGGCTACCCCCTATATTTTGAAGATGAAAAATCCAAATATGTAAAAAAAAATGCATGTTTATTCAGAGAAAGTACGTTTTTGTGTCTGATTTTGTAACTTAATTAATAGTTATCACTAATTAATTAGCATATTTGAGGTCACCCCCAGGAACCATTAAGATTGACACTCAGTTCGTGAATATCCGATCATTAGAACGAAAGTTATTCAGGGTGATATCTTTTTTTTTTGCGGACTGTACAGATACGACAATCTTCTTAATCTTAGCATTTATTTTGACGAAGCTTAACTTTCATTTATCCTATAATAAATACGTAATATTATTATTTTTTTTTAAGTCATAAAACCATCTCTATTCAGTTGAAGAAGCATAATGAGGAAGATTTTTTTAGATGACAAAAAATAATATTATAATAATTATTTCTTTGTCAGAATTTAATTTCTTACCATAAAAAAATATTTTGCAAAATTTCCCTCTAAAAATATCCTTTTTCAATCATCTTTGTCGTTATTTGATAAGGAGCTTTTGATAAACTACATTCTAAATTAAAGGTCATTAAATGTGTTTTATGAATATTCAATTCGTTTTTTTTTTTATTTTTTTAAAGTGATGCGCTTTCTCCAAATTGCATAAAATGTAAAAAATTGAGTTTAAAAGTGGCGAAATGACAAATTTTTTTTTTTTTGTTTGCCATTGTAGCGTTTAATATTTATAATTAAACATGGTATTTTAAGAGATATATTGTATTTACATAGTTAATGACTGAAAACACGTCACTTTTACTTTTACTATTTAAATATAGGCTGCTTATAAGAGAACGTGTTTACTTTTTAATGATTTTTTTTTCAAATTTTATTGAAACAAAGCAATTAAAAGATTTATTTTCTTAAAAAATGGATTTCTTTCAACTATTTGCAGGGTTGTATTATTATGATTTTTAAAAAATTATTTTTTTTTATTTAATAATTTTTAAAGAATTTTTAAATTGGCCATGTCCGCAACGTCACTGACATGACAAGTTGCAAAATACAATTTCACTAGCTTTTAATAAACATTTGAGCTTGATAAAAAAATCAAGCAAGAAAATATCTGGCTACAGCAGCAGGCAATCTTTTGGAAAAAGCGGTGAAGAAAATTAATAATGCTTTGCCACAAATCTCCTCAGAGGAAACCTAATGTTTTAAGACATAGGATATCAAAAATGTCTCCATTAAAAAGAAAGCAGATAATTAAAAACGCCATTAAAGGAAAAAGGCAACAGGTGCATATTTAAAGAACGGATTCTGGAACTAGTAGTTGAAAAACCAGGAATGATAAATTAGCAGAGGAAACTGAAATAAATGTAAAACAATTTTTTATTAAGGATGATATTAGCCGCTTGTGCCCTAAAAAGAAGGAAGTGATATCCATAAAAATACCTAAAGGCAGAGAAAGACATCAAAAACGTTATTTAATGATGAGCATTGGTGAAGCACATATCTTATTTTTTGAGAAAATTCAGATTTAGATAATGGGAAAGCTAAATTTCATGAGCTTCGTCCTAAATACGTTCTTCCATCGGGAAAGAAAGACCAAGAAGTTTGTGTGTTCATGCATATACTACGAAAAAATAGCTATGACTCTTTCAGGAATCGGAACTCCTCTGTCCTGATCTTTCAGAAAATTCTGAAACAACTGCAATTTGTAAATTTTGGTGAAAAACTGCATAGACTAATCCTGCCGAAAATGCAGAGTAAAAAAATACTTAAATGCAAAAATGTCAGAGTAAAATTTAGACAGGTCAAATATTATCAATGGCATCAGAATGAATAAGGTTTTAACTGTTAAAAAAGAAATTGTTACCGATTTGGGTCGTGCAAAGGTCTGATGGAGCTGCCAGTTTAGTTTTTCATAACGAACATCATTGATGCTTTGAATCAGCTCACAGGAAAGGAGCCGTCGATGGAATAGGATGGATCAAAAATAGATTTATATTCGCTTCGTAAATTTAGTTTTTCACAACGAAGAATTCATCATTGATGCTTTGAAACAGCTCACATGAAAGGAGCCGTCGATGGAATAGGCGGCATCCATCATGGAAAACGTAGTTTAGAAAGCTGTATTGCAAGGAAGAGAAAATGTCGTTGATTCAATGCAATTTTTTTTTTAAAGTGGCTTGTAAAATTTTAGAAGGAAATATAAAAATAATCTTAGTAAGCAAAGTCATTGTCCAGCATTATGCAACGATGTTGAATGAAAGTTATAGTTTCCGCAAATCTATCCCAAATACAAGATTATTACATTTCATCTCACCTATAACATTTAATTCAGTTGAATCGTCATTTAACTCTCCTATCTCTAGTCCCCAAATCATGCACCTAGCAGAATTATTTACTAAACTGCCTTCACAACATGCTGTAGATTCAAAACAGCAAACTTCCATTTTTAGTCAGTGGATTGTTTGATGACTATTGGTGGCCTGGCCAAATAATTTCAGCAACCAAGACAGATATGACACTTGAACACTATTTGAAGTTCGTAGCTCTAAACAAGTCTAAGTATTTAGAAAAATCGCTATTTGAAATAATGATAACTGGCCCATACTTATGCCCGTTGTCACGTAATCCTTCACATGATCATTCTGCACAGTTTTATTCATACAATTCTGAACTAGCTTTAAAGATAAGGAATATAATAAATAAATTGTGTTGCAATATTTAAAACATCATTTACCCGACATCTAAAATAAATCTAATTTACAATAATTAATTTTATAATAAGATCTAATTTTAAAAAATTTAAAATATTAAAAATAACGAATAAACAATCATAATTTACTTATTATTTAACAAAAGATATCTGTAATATTCTAATGATATACGACCATCTAAGAAGATTATTTATAATGCGAAATTTTCTGTCATGTCCGCAACATACACGTTATATTTAATTTGATAATTTTCAATTAAATTAATTTTATTTTTTCAAAAGTCTTTTGATTTCTGTTATAAAAATATACGCTGAAATCTTACCTAAAAAGGAGCTTTAATTCATTTCATAAAATTANTAAATTCATTTCTATTTTTAAATATGCATTGGGTTAATAGATGACATGTCTCCTGAATTTTATGAGACAGATACCAGTTACCTAGCTCAATTTTTTATTTAATTATGAGTAATTAAACTTTGTAAATGTCATGTCCGCAACATGCACAATATTGTGAAAGCATTTATTTTTTAGAACATAAACATTCGTTTTCACCGTAATAAACCAGTAGCATAGAATATCTTTATTTAAGATATAAAATCAACCCTTTACAATAATTCCTGTTATAATCTGAAAGAGATTCTGTTTTTAAAGGAAATATATGTCACATAAATCTGATTTTTAACATTTCTTATCAATGGTAAATATTAATCATATAAAATAGATAAGAGATGCTATGGTATGGGGGCAATGGTGGACTGCGCTCAGNGCTTTTATCAGAAATTGTTTTACTGCATGAATGAAGTAGGAGGGATGGTCATAAGGGTTGCCTTAAGCGCAGTCCACCAACCTTTATTAAAGGGGGATAAGATGTCAGCAGCGCAGTCCACCATATTTCAGAAAACCATTAGCGCAATCAGGTATCACCGATGGTATGGATATGAAAGACACATGATGGTTGGTGAATTAGGAGGGGACATGATGAGTGATGGATATGGAGTTGCATGATAGGTGGTACTAGTGGATATGGCGAGGCAGATCGCCATATCCACTAGCCATATCCACTATGGAGGATTTAATCAAATAACTAGCATTGTTATGTTAACTTAACAATGCTAACAACAATTATTCCATTGTCAGCATTTATTTTGGTAAAGAATAACATTCGTATTCAGCATAATAAATTTATAACTTGAATTATCACAAAACAATTAAATTTATCCCATTGAAAAAAAAATGAAAAACAGAAATAGTATTTTTATAACATTGATTTGTATTAATTAAAATTAAACAATTTCGAGGTTCTAGATGACTTTCAATCATTATCTTTGCAAAATACAACTACTAAAGCAAAGAAAATACGCTGATAACCTAATAAGTTTTTTTTAAAAAATAGAAAAAGACAAAGAAAAAAAGAAAAAGAAAGAAACAGAACTAAGATTATTTTTAATTAAAAGAAAAAAAAAAACTCATTTTTCAACGATTATTTTTTGTTGAAATAAAATCTCTTCTTTAAGCCGAGAGTAATTTTTTTAAAAATAAAACTAATTATTACATAAGAAATATTTTGTTTGTTAAAATTTAAAATGCGCTAACATTTTTTAAGTTTTAATTTATAATTATGACCTTTTTAAACAAGCTCTACAAGTCTTTTGATTATAATAAACGTGTTTTTCGGGGATATTTCCAGACCGTGATCTGTCGCGCCAAGGTTCTAAATAGATTTGAAATTTGCAATTAAAAACAAAACAAAAAAAAATACATGGAGATGTTAGCCAGTGGGGTGGTGACAGGTTATACCTTTCGAGTTGATTCCTTTCTGTGATGGTTTTTTTAATTTTTATATACATTCTAGCTTCTCGCGGACCGCTGCCCGGAAGTTGACCAAGATACAAGTTGACCACAAATACAAATCGCGATACGGAAATCACCCCTGTTTTTCCACAGTTTTATCTTCAATTTTTTTTCTGTAGAAATGAAGGTAAGAATTCTATTTAAAAGATTTCATAGAATATTTATTTAATAGATGGCGCCAAATCAGTAAATGAGTTTAGTGATATGTTAAATTGGTTGAAAGAAAACATTTCAATCAAAGAGAAGTACAGTAATGTCAAGAATTTAGTGCTGCCATCTATTTTATTATTTATTCAACTTATACTTGCGATTTTCAATTTTTTAAATTGAATTTCTTTTGAAAAAAAAAAAAAAAACGTATTATATTTCAACGATTAAAATTATTTGAATGTTTTATATTAAGACTATTTATTTCATTTTATACAAATTGTTCTTCAAAATATATCTATATTTTTTTGAGATCAGGATATGCACACAACTTAAAAAGAAGAATAATGAAAACTCTAAATGCTTATCAAAATGTTAACAGAATAATAATTTTTCCTTTCAACGACAGATAAAATATCTATTTTATGCTGTAAAATTTGCATACGTAAACTTGCAATGTGGCGATTTTACAGATAGAAAAAATCGCCACAATGATTGAAAAGGTAATCTATTTTTCGTTGCCACGAGAAAAATAGGACCTTCACTTCCTTTTGTGGGTTCTTGTGTGTGTGTTAGACCCTTGTTTGTGTTATTGAACTGAAGAAGATTCTTGTGTAAAGAAAGTTTTAAGGACATTGTTTTGTACTGCACTTAATGTGCTATTTGGATTTAGAAGATGTAATAAAACTCTTATTCTCAAATTTATAAGACAGTGTATCCAAAACCCTTATTAATGAAAGTGGATTGCATTCATAGTTATGAAAAATCTATAGAAAGTGCTTTAGAAGAGTAATTTCCATGCAGATCGTATTCATATGATATCTTCTTTATACTGAAAACAAAAATCAATTGAATGATAAAATAACATTTTCTTCGTGTTGATAGAAATAAAATTCCTGCTGTGCGTGCATAAATATTAAGAAAAAATGTGTTTTCTTTTCGATTCATGTAATTGATAAACTACTCATGCAGTGTGTGTTAAATGCTTCCTGGCTGGAGAAGATATTATTATTAAAGGCAATATCTTTCTGTGTTGGCGATAACATTCTTTGTTGTGACACTAACGGTAAATAGTGTGACACATCTTTGCAATGATGTTCTAAGAGAAAAATATTTTCATAGAAATTTAATGTTTGCACTTTGCTTAAAAGTTTCCAAGTGTAGTTAATGGCTGCTCTAAATAAAAAGTATGCAATAAGAAGTAATTTCATTTAAATGTTTTGCGCTCATAATATATGAATAATTTATTTAAGGATGAATTAATCATGAAGAATTTAATTAATGTGGTTTAATCTAACAAACACTTTAGAGGAACTTTTCCATGTAGTGCATTATTAAACAGTTTTAAAAAGATTGTAGTTGCGGGCTATTAAACAGTCTCTTACATTCATAAAGCACATGTGATTTGATATTTATATACAAGTAGTTGAGATTGTGATTTTCTTGTTAAAACGGAGAACATATTTTTTATATGCAGTTTTGGCAATTTAATGTTTATAAAATTAAATTTTCTCTACCTTCTCATATTTATGTTGATTTATAAGAGCATACATTTATCATGTGTGATAATATATTGATACAAAAATTTGCTATTTAATTTCTTTTTTAAATATATATTGAACCATATTGTTGCAATGTGTGTGTGAAATAATTTGTAAATGAAATTTAATTTGATAATTTCATGTTCATAGCAGTAAATAGCATTACTTTTTATTCATATTCATTTTTGTAATAAGTTTTTCTAATAACAAATAAGATTAATTTTGCAGTGTATCTAAGAATGCCTTCATTCATAGTGTATTGAATTTAAAGGAATCTGTTACATAAAAAGTTTCACTGTTCCTGCAGTTTCTAGTGTAAAAGAACATAAAGTGAAATAATTTAATTTAGTTTTGTATCTTTATAGGTATGATAAAATAGAAATATTATTAAAGTAAAGTTTGTAGGGGAAAAAAATTGCATCTTCTCAATATAATTTAAATTAATCATTTCGCAGATGCGCCTATTAATAAATCATATTCCTGTTATAAAGTGATCATATTTCTACAGTATTTTATTTTGCTTAGTTAAAACATTTAGTCAAAGTAAGTAATTTGATACAACATGATCATTTTCTTAATCTGTGCTATTGAAGGCATCTTTATGCTATTAAATGAGTTACTTTTGTAATGAAAATTATTTTGAATTATTGCTTTCATTTTAATTAACGGCTAATTATTTTTCCATTGTCTAAATATAGCTATTTGCATCAAATAAATAAATAAAAAGCAATAATTTGATTTTGAACAGAAAATCTGTATTTTTTCTTATATTTATGCATTTTTATTTTAATATTGCAAAGTGGATTTATATCTTCATTTCTTACAGCATATTTATAATTGTTTTTCTAGAAGTCTTACTCGACTACCCACAATTTATCTACCCTAATGATTCTTGCTCTAGTAACACATACAAAAGTGTTTTACAACAATATTTTGTATAGTATTCTGGCCGTATAATAATTTAATTTTTAAAGCAAACAAGTGTGACCCATGGTTATTATGGTTCATAATAGTAAGAAACATATTTCATGTAAGACATGAATTTTCCATCAAATTATTAACATTTGTCTTCACCCTGTTGAGAAATCTTATTTGTGAAAAGATTTTTTCTAAAAAAAGTAAACATATACTGTAATAGTGTTTTTCATCCTGTAAGATAACCTTATTCTTGTAATATATGTAATTAGGTTTTTTCTAAAAGAAGTAGCCATACTAAACACTGCAGAATTCATATTAGTGAGAAATCCTATTGTTGTAGTAATGTAATAAGAATTTTTCACAAAGAGATCTAGCTAAACGCAATCGTGTTCATATGGGTGAGATGCCTTATTCTTGTAGTATATGTAATAAGATTTTCTCACGAAAAAGTGCACTGACTGGACACAGTCGTGTTCATACAGGTGAGAAGTTTTATTCATGTAGCATGTGCAATAAGAGTTTCTCACAAAAAAGTGCACTGACTGCACACTTTTTTCTTCATACTGGTGAGAAGAAACCTTATTCTTGTTGTACATGTAATAAGAGTTTTTCAACTAGATCTAATTTAATTCAACATAGTCGCGTTCATACTGGTGAGAAACCTTATTCTTGTAGTATATGTAATAGGAGTTTTTCATTAAAAGGTAATTTGACTCAACACAATCGTGTTCATACTGGTGAGAAACCTTATTCTTGTAGTAAATGTAATAAGGGATTTTCAAGTAGAGCTTATTTGACGCTACATAGTCGAGTTCATACCGGTGAGAAACCTTATTCTTGTAGTATATGTAATAAGAGTTTTTCAACAAAAGGTAATTTAACTCAACACAATCGTGTTCATACTGGTGAGAAACCTTATTCTTGTAGTATATGTAATAAGAGTTTTTCACAAAAAGGTATACTGACTCAACACAATCGTGTTCATACTGGTGAGAAGCCTTATTCTTGTAGTACATGTAATAAGAAATTCTCACATAAAAGTTCACTGACTTCACACTTTTTTGTTCATACTGGTGAGGAGAAATCTTATTCTTGTAGTGTATGTAATAAGAGTTTTATAGGAAGATTTCTATTGACTGAACACAGTCGTGTTCATACAGGTGAGAAGCCTTATTCTTGTAGTATATGTTATAAGAGATTTTCATTAAAATGTAATTTGACTCAACATAGTCGTGTTCATACTGGTGAGAAACCTTATTCTTGTAGTAAATGTAATAAGAGATTTTCAAGTAGAACTTATTTGACGTTACATAGTCGAGTTCATACCGGTGAGAAACCTTATTCTTGTAGTATGTGTAATAAGAGTTTTATACGGAGACTTCTATTGACTGAACACAGTCGTGTTCATACAGGTGAGAAGCCTTATTCTTGTAGTATATGTTATAAGAGATTTTCATTAAAAGGTAATTTGACGCTACATAGTCGAGTTCATACCGGTGAGAAACCTTATTCTTGTAGTATATGTAATAAGAGTTTTTCACAAAAATGTATACTGACTCAACACAATCGTGTTCATACTGGTGAGAAGCCTTATTCTTGTAGTACATGTAATAAGAAATTCTCACAGAAAAGTTCACTGACTTCACACTTTTTTGTTCATACTGGTGAGGAGAAATCTTATTCTTGTAGTGTATGTAATAAGAGTTTTATGCGAAGACTTCTATTGACTGAACACAGTCGTGTTCATACGGGTGAGAAGCCTTATTCTTGTAGTAAATGTAATAAGAGATTTTCAAGTAGAGCTCATTTGACGCTACATAGTCGAGTTCATACGGGTGAGAAACCTTATTCTTGTAGTATATGTAATAAGAGTTTTTCACAAAAAGGTAATTTGACTCAACACAATCGTGTTCATACTGGTGAGAAACCTTATTCTTGTAGTAAATGTAATAAGAGATTTTCAAGTAGAGCTTATTTGACGCTACATAGTCGAGTNTGATGAATTGAGAAACCTTATTCTTGTAGTATATGTAATAAGAGTTTTTCACAAAAAGGTATACTGACTCAACACAACCGTGTTCATATTGGTGAGAAGCCTTATTCATGTAGCATATGCAATAAGAGTTTCTCACAAAAAAGTGCACTGACTTCACACTTTTTCGTTCATACTGGTGAGGAGAATTCTTATTCTTGTAGTGTATGTAATAAGAGTTTTATAGGAAGATTTCTATTGACTGAACACAATTGTGTTCATACGGGTGAGAAGCCTTATTCTTGTAGTACATGTAATAAGAGATTTTCAAGTAGAGCTTATTTGACGCTACATAGTCGAGTTCATACCGGTGAGAAACCTTATTCTTGTTGTATATGTTATAAGAGATTTTCATTAAAAGGTAATTTGACTCAACATAGTCGTGTTCATACTGGTGAGAAACCTTATTCTTGTAGTAAATGTAATAAGAGATTTTCAAGTAGAACTTATTTGACGTTACATAGTCGAGTTCATACCGGTGAGAAACCTTATTCTTGTAGTATATGTAATAAGAGTTTTTCACAAAAAGGTATACTGACTCAACACAATCGTGTTCATACTGGTGAGAAGCCTTATTCTTGTAGTACATGTAATAAGAAATTCTCACAAAAAAGTTCACTGACTTCACACTTTTTTGTTCATACTGGTGAGGAGAAATCTTATTCTTGTAGTGTATGTAATAAGAGTTTTATGCGAAGACTTCTATTGACTGAACACAGTCGTGTTCATACGGGTGAGAAGCCTTATTCTTGTAGTAAATGTAATAAGAGATTTTCAAGTAGAGCTTATTTGACGCTACATAGTCGAGTTCATACCGGTGAGAAACCTTATTCTTGTAGTATATGTAATAAGAGTTTTTCACAAAAAGGTATACTGACTCAACACAATCGTGTTCATACTGGTGAGAAGCCTTATTCTTGTAGTACATGTAATAAGAAATTCTCACAAAAAAGTTCACTGACTTCACACTTTTTTGTTCATACTGGTGAGGAGAAATCTTATTCTTGTAGTGTATGTAATAAGAGTTTTATACGAAGACTTCTATTGACTGAACACAGTCGTGTTCATATGGGTGAGAAGCCTTATTCTTGTAGTATATGTTATAAGAGATTTTCATTAAAAGGTAATTTGACTCAACATAGTTGTGTTCATACTGGTGAGAAATCTTATTCTTGTAGTAAATGTAATAAGAGTTTTTCTAGTAGAGCTTATTTGACGTTACATAGTCGAGTTCATATCAGTGAGAAACCTTATTCTTGTAGTATATGTAATAGGAGTTTTTCACGAAAAGATCTACTGACTCAACATAGTTGTGTTCATACTGGTGAATAAACCTTATTCTTGTAGCATATGTTATAAGATTTTTTCACAAATAGTTCTTCTAAATAAGCACATTTGTGTTCACACTGGAGAGAAACCTTTTTCATGTAATAAGACTTTTTCAAGGAAAGATTATCTAACTCATCACATTCTTGTTCAGACTGATTAGTAGCAATTGTCTTGTGTACGTAATAAAAAATTTTTTTTTTTCTCTTAGGGATGTTCCAACTTTTTATTGTTTATTCATACTGGTTAAAAAAAACTCATTCTTATAATATATGTGTGCAGTGGCGTACGCAAGGGAGGGGTTTAGGGGCCTTCAGAGTGTTACTTCCCACCCATTGACATTGGACTTTTTTCAGAAGATATTACATGCGAGAAGATATTACATTATGTTCTTAACCCACTGACGGTTCTGCACGTAAAAAGTCGCATTTTAACCTGCAGTCTTCTCTGTATAGCAAAACCGGTTTTCCCATGTTAATTGATAGGGGAACTGTGTGTAGGGGAGAAACATTCTCCCAATTTTGCCCATTTCCCTAACCGCCAGTGGGTTAAACTTAAAAAATCAAATCAAAATTTATCTAAACAATGTTGTCAAATTATCTATCTGTCTAAGTTAGGGAAATAATAGTGCTTTATTACATACTCGAATTTCTTTTAGTAGTTTCAGAAAATCATGAACACCCCCCTTGAAAAAATTCTGCGTACGCCACTGTATGCGTATGAGTTTTTTTTTTCTTCAAAAGACTCCGAAATGTCATCATCAAATGTTTCTCAGAAATGTCATCGAACTAAATACTGTGTTGTTCCTACTTGTTGATTTAAATCAAACAATTTTATTTTAAAAAATCATTTGATTTAAATCAACTGATTTTTTTTATATATGCATTGATTTTAAAAGTTAAAAAACAGTGTTTTAAATTATTGATACTTATATTATTTTCTTTTCTTAGTTTTAAAATTTATTTTAAGTAAATTGCTGCATTAATTAATTTTAGTTAACAAAATTACTTTCTTTCTTGGTGTGTGCTAAATTCCAACATATTTGAAATTACATTTTTAAAAATCTTTTGATTCTTGAGATTAAAAGTACAGATTAAAGTACACATTTAATGTTGTTTTAATATAGACTTGCATAGCTGAAATAATTAATAAACATGAATTTTTTTCAAGAAAATGCAAATAATGTTAATTAAAATTTTACCTTTTGATTGAAAAAGCGTGGAATAAAAATCTACGTTTTATTTTATTGGTGGAAAATGTTTATTTCTAAAGCTTGAGGTTATATTAAAAAGAAGTTACCCTAAAATAGAAAGAAAAAAAAAAGCTGATGAATTCAGATATTTTTTTTCCTGATATAGTAGTGTCATTCTTCCCTTTCAAAGTCTATTTGAAGCAGTTGAGGTATTAACTGGTATTTTTTTTCTCTTATGTTTACAGTATCTTTGACATTATCAGATTTTCTATACAGAAATTATGTGAAAAAAAAAATTTCAATGGGTGCATGAATTTTTTAAAATTTTTTTTAATTTTAACTTATCTATTTTGATGTAAGATTAAAAATGAATATTTTAATTCAAAATTATCCATATTAAATATTTATTTTTTGATGAATGACTACATTTATAAACACAATCTGTTGCATTTATTTTGTCTTATGAAAAATGAAGAGAAAAAAATCACAATTTTAAATTGAAATATGAAACATTATTTTAATAGTTAAAGATCAGGGGTCTGTCCAAACCAGATTTACTACCACTTAGTGATATACCTTCACAAAATACTTTTTCTTAAAATTTTATTTTTGTGTCTCGTAAGAAACGATGAATCCATATTTTTGTGTTGATTTGTTATTGTAATTTTTAATTTTCACTAATTATGTCTAAATTTTCACAAAATAAGTACCTCTCAGAAAAACGTAGACAGACTCCTGAAGTATTCTTTAAATTCTCTATTTTATCTAGTCTTTAAATTTCAATCATGCATTTGTTTAAAAATGGTTGCTATGCATTCAAAGCCATGTATTATAATGAAAAATTATTTTAGTAAGTTAGAGGTTCTAAAATATTGCTATAATATAGTTTTAATATTAATTTAATTTTGATTAAATATTTATAAATCTTTTTAATATTTGTAAATATATTAAATTTTAATATATATAAATCTTTTTTATATTTGAATAAAAATCAAAAAAATCTGATTTTTCAAAAAAAATCTTGAACCCTGGTTGAAAAAAAAATCATGAACCCTTGACACAGTATCTCTTTGAAGTATGTGATGAAATTGTTTTTTATTTTTTTAAATTATAGTGATCCTAATATTTACATTAGTGTTCATACTGGTTGATAAACCATATTCTTGTAGCATTTGTAATAATTGTGTCTCAACAACAGCTAATCGAACTAATCATAGTTTTGTTGACCCTGCTGAGAAACCTAATTCTTGTGACACGCGTCAAAATAATTTTTCCAATAACATTGTATATCGATTTATACTGGTGCATTCATTTTTGCAGCATATGTAGGGTATCTGCACTCCTGGAAAGTCATAAATTTCAATATTGAACAAAATATGTCATGATTTTAAATTTTTTTTAAAAAAATATTTATTTCGCTGAAAAGTCAAATTTTTAAATGGAACCCATTTCATAGTGTTTCGAATTTGTAACGAAATCTCCACTCATAGTTTTATTTCATTATTAGAACAGGAAAATCAGGAGTATTTCCTTTCCAATGAACAAGACAACTATCTATAGAATATAATTCTGCAGAAGAAAAAAAAAAAGAAAGTTATTTGTAATTTTTTTTTTTAGCTGTTTTATTGCTTCAACTCTTTCTTTACTCTGTTTTTAAAGTCTATATATATGATGATGCAGAGTATAACAGTTTTGGTTATACCAATCATTTCAATTAATGTTATTATAATGCCTTTTTAAATTTATTTTTGTGGTTTTGTCGTAGAAAATAGTAACTTCGTTAAGTCATGAAAAATTCTTGGAATTAGTCATGAATTTGAAAATCTAAAATGTAGCAGATACCCTTCATAGGTAAAAAGTGACTGATTGAGCATAGATCATTTCTCACTGAGGAAAAACTTTCTTCTTGCTTCCATTATAAGTAAAAAAATTCACAGAAGTGTCATTAGATTTAACACAATTTAATGAAGCTGATGAGGTTTTTTCTTAACAAAATATTTTATATTGCAGATTTCATTATATTTGTCTGTTTTGATGTATATGTAAAATAAGCTCCAGTATTGAAAAGTTGTGGATTAAAATTGAAATACATTCTTGTAAACACATCTTAGTCAAAGTTGTAACCTTGATTACTGGTTACAAATTATTTTTTATTCTCTCAGCATTAGAATCCTGAGTTGTATGTATTATTTTTTAATGATAATAATGATAAAATAACTTCAATAGCAGCTTTATTTAAAAAATTACATGTAGCTTTTATTTATTTAATGAATGTTTTAAGTGAATTCAGTTTAACTGCAAGTATGAAACATATAGATAAAGTAATGTAAATTGATTCAAAATATCAATTTCTTGTACTTAAATCTAAACTTTTTCTAAGCTTTGATCATTTTATAAATCTTACATTTATGTTACCAAAATGTTACTGTAATGAATATTATGACAGTTTTTTAAATGATTACTTGATATAAATTTTGGTAATCACATCTGAAGGTCTTAGATTGTATAACTTATCAAACTTTTGAAAAAGTACACAAAAGATCACTCAAACTATTGAAAAATCGAACTTTTATTAAAATTGCTTTTTTTTTAATTCTCAAAACTATTATTTCGCTAATTTATTATGTTAAATAATGAAATATTCAAATAATTTGTCATTTGTAATAACTTTTCAGTTCACAGTTATTCGTGACAAAATTTTCTCATTATAATATGTTTATATATGTGTATGTGTGAGGTTGAGATATTTATTTACTATAGTCCTTTTCTTATAATGGTTCAGTGAAATTTAAATGTCTTGCACAAATTATTATTTTTTATTATTCTGTGTATGGTATATGTTATACTGTATATTGTTTTATTCTGTTCATGGTTAAAATAAAATGCACTTTATTTAATATTATACTTTGTATTAATAACATAATGGTTAATAAGTAAGAAATAAACTAAAATACAGGGTGTTCCAAAATTCTCTTTACAACTTCAAAAATTCATAACTTTGAAAATAAACAAGATATTTATATTCTGTCTTTTGCATGTATTACTGCAACTAATAAAGTTTTGTTTGGTACACTTCAACATGCGCACCATTGGTGGCCCTAAGCACTTCCAGTCTGTAATCAATTTCAAGCCAGGTGATGTAAAGATAATTTTGAAACACCCTGTATATTCAAAAATATTTCATAATTCAATGTTCTGTGAAATTAAACACGTGTAATCTCAATATCTCTTTACCTAAAAATTAGAACAGCTTCTTTTAAAAAGTAAAATGTTGGCGTATTATACTAAACTATTCAAATGCAGCGACTTGCCCTGCTTATGGATTATTTATATTGCAGTAGCGCTTTATAGCGATTAAAAATAATATTGATTCTTTTATTGGGAGGTGATCTACCTTACTGCTCACCTTTGTGTTACCTACCTTAGTTAAAATCATAATATTATTTATAAAAGCATAAATAATTTTTGATTAAGTGATAGTAATAAAAGTAAAAAATTGGAAAAAAAAATTATGCAATGAATATGTTATGAAATTTTTCTAAAAAAGGAGTTGCTCACAATTTTTTACAAAAAAATTAGTAGGCTTTATTTTAAAATTCTAATGAACTTTTTAAATATTATAATAAATAATGTAATGTATTAATTATAAATCCCATATTGTATTCACCATTGTAAATAGCATACTAATTTTCCTATCATATGCTCTTAATTATGAATACTCAAATTTTTTTAGATAGTATACTAAAAATACTTATCAGCCGATATTTTGAATGCAGATGTCATTTTTTCATACCTAATAATAAAATAAGTTAATTATAATTCAGAAAATAAATCTAATAATTTTTTTATAGAGAATGTTTATTAACAGATTACTGAATTTTCAATTTCAAATTAATAATCAATTACATAAAGTTTTATGAAGCAGACTACTTTTAAAATGCATTTTCAATCATAGGCTATTTATTTTAAATAAAACTTGTAAGTTTTCAAAAATACATGTTTGATCAGAAGTTTTTTT